GAGGCACAACCTCTGGGACAAAAGAACCACTTGTGTAGATTACCTATGAGAAAGACAAAGAACTGTTTACATTACTACACAAATACAGGAACCTAATTATATTCATAGCTCAAAGTATGGGGCAACCCACGATAGTATTTCTGCTTTTGTCAACTATAAAAGGACACAAAGATTTCATTGAGAGTATGTGCTTCATTTCGTTCTTCTTTTAAGTTTTCTTACAATTTTTGAAAGGGACTAAGTCCCTGAAATTACTTTTAATCCAAAAACATAGTTAACTATAAAGTAGAGAAAGAAAGAGCAGGATTTACCTGTATAAAACTCTGCATTAATGTCCTCCACATTAATCTCCACTTGTCCTGGGGCGTGAGCTCCATCAATGATTACAGCCACACCGAACTCATGACATACAGATACTATCTCTTTAACTGGGAGCAACAGAGTACTGGGACTAGTAATGTGATCCACGATAGCAACATGGACGTCGGAATGAGACGAGAGATAGTCCCGATATCTCTGGACTACTTCAAACTTATCTTTGTACGGTGGATCAAGGTTGATGGTGTGAAGAACAAAGTGACCTTCAATTTCGCAGACTTTGTGTGCCGTGTGTCTTATTGCTTCGTAAGAAAGACCCGTTACCAAGAGGCCGGCTTTGGATTGCATTTTTAAGCCTAAGCTCCGTAGCGCAGCTGTAATGCCACCGGTAGCATTTTCTACAAATACTACATTTTCTGATGAAGAGGAACCGATTAGTTTCGAGACTGTTTCGGATCCTTTTGTAACGAGTAGCACAAAGTTGTATCTAAACCAATCATCCGGGCAGATCTCGAGCTCTTTCATCCGCTCCAGCCTTGCTTCATACACAGAGCGTGGGACAGAACCAAAGGAGCCGTGATTGAGATGAACTAGCTCCTTGCTTAGCTGGAATTCATCTCTAATCTCTGCTCCAAACAAACCTCCAGTTTCAGCCATTTTTATCTAATTAAATAAATCTAAATCACAGATTCATAGTTTTCCTTTAGCCCACACAGGCAGGAGTATAAATTATAAAAGCAATTTTTTAATGTCCTTAAAAACGATTGAATCTTTTTTACAGAAGCATAATAGCTCTAGCACAATAATAATAATAATAATGATAATAATAATAATAATAATAATAATAATAATAATAATAATACTCATAATCACATGTATTTCAATGACAGTGTTCATTCTGGTCCCTATTATTGACTCCAAATATGTGCTTCGTCTTTCCAAAAATGAAATACCCAATCCCGGCACCAAAGCAAACGGAGAGGAATAGCCATCCATTAAAAGTCATAGCAATGAACATTAAAATGTAGCCATACCCAACTTGAACCACATGAAGCAGGGACTGTATGATGTGCATGCTTAGACTAATGGAGAAGGACTTTACCCTACAAAGAGAAGAGAAGGAAACCACTCACTATAATCATATTATAAGTATTGTTTATATAAACAATGTCCAAAACTATCAGACACTGTCACATGGTACATGTCACTGTCACATGCCACAGAGTACAAACTACCACACAGCTGCTAATATTGGTGAGAATTATTGTAAAAAAAATTATAGGATTGGCGATTTAGTAGCCACGTGTCATTAAATAAAGCAAAATGGTGGATTGTATACTGGCAGTCATACTAATGTATATTAATGTACTATTTTATTTATTTATTTCCAGGTATACCTGTTTGATTTCTTTTCTGGATCTAACAGCTCCATTTT